CTTGCTGCAAGGAATTTGAGAACATCCTCCTCCTTCATTTGCAGGACATCAAGGGCTCCCGACATTGTGAAAGTTTCCCTTTGAGTTACGATGGGAATCCAGAACAACGCGGAATGGACCCTTCTCTGGGTAGCGCGGAAAAGCCGCAGTAGATTTAGACTGTGAACAATCTTAATTAATGCTATCTTTTACTATATGTTTTCCCAGCATTTCTCTTTTCTCCAGCATTTTAAGCCCCACAGAGAACAGAGAATGTTGCTTTTATAATTTTCAGAACTACTAGGGAAATTGTGGGCACAAAATCACTGTTTAAACAAAAATATGCATGTTGAACTAAATTAAGATTACTGTGGGCTGACACAGACAAGATAGAACATAAGTCTTACATACTTTTAAACAGCTCTATTGAGGTCTAATTGACATTCCATTAAATTCATCCATTTTGAATTACAGTTCAGTGATTTTTAGTAAATTACCTGAGTTATGGAACGATTATGATCATCCAATTTTAAACATTTTTATCACCACAAAAAGATCTTTTCATGCTCAATTATACTTAATCCCTATTTCCATGCCTTGCCTCAGGCAAACACTGGTCAATTTTATATCTCCATAGGTTCCTTTTCTGAACATTTCATATACATGAAATCATTCAATATGTGACTTCTTGTTGTCTGGCTTTTTTCCTTAACAATGTTTTTGAAGGTCATTTATGCTGTAGCAAATATTAGTATTTAACTCCTTTTTATTCCTGAATAATAGTTCATTGTTTAATATACTAAACTTTGTTTCTCCATTCACCAGCTGCTGGACATTTGGACTGTTCCCATTTTGTGGCTATTAGGAATATATAACCACAAAGTAGAGCTCATTATTACATTTAAAACATTTACTGAGCATCACAAATATAGGTGATGTGGCAGATTCCATGTTTGGAATAGACACCACAGACTCCATACCAGACAGGGATGTGTTCTGATTCTTACAAAGCCACTTACCAGACGTTTGACTTCAAGATAATTAATCTCTTTGAGCCTCAGTTTTCTTTTTTGTAAATTGGGAGTAATAATTCTGTTGCATGACTTTTGCATTAGAATAATGTACATAAAGCAAAAGATAACTTAGCACATGGCACGTGTGAACCTTTATGATTTGGGGGATTTAAACAAATTTTAAATTTTCTTGAAAGCTCGTATAAAAGTTTGCTAGCCAAAGTGCTTTTCCTGCCACAGACTGTCATCCTAGTGTCTCAGGTTGAACACTAGCAGTCCACCGTTAGTCCGCCCCCTTCTGAAAGGTTGTCTGTTCTCTTTGAGTTGTGACTCAGGGAACATGTCCTCAATGTCTGTGAAGCTGGTCTCAGGACAGCAGGTTTGATCCCTCCTTTTGAGCCACAGGAAACTGATTTGAAGGCAGAGATGATCGGTGTGTTTCTAGGACATTGATGTGGTCTTGTCTCTGACTGGCTGGGCAACCAGATGCAGAATCCTGTTTTCTGAAGCAGAACATTCCACAGGTCTAGCCTGCAGAACATTCCTCTGCTGAGGACCTTGGGCAGGATAAATGGAGAGGAATCCTTGGCCAGTCTCATTGCTGATCCTGTGTCTCCATCGTGGTGGTAAGTCCAGGGGCAGCCAAAGCAACTCTGAGCGGTCTGGGGTGGTGATGGGGAAGGAGGAGGATGCAGTCAGGCACCTCTAGGTTCTACCTGGGAATGTGTGAAGACAGTGAACACTCCATGCAGAGATCAGTCTCTATGTCTGACTTTGTCTTTCTGAACAGGAGGGAGCAGCCACTTGAGCATAAAACAGGGTCCTCCACGGTTGCACGTTCAGGAAGGAGAGAGCACCAATGCCACCTGCAGTTTCCCTTCCAGCTCTTTTTATGCTTTTCATTTGTACAGATGGGAACCTGCAAGAGGTCCCAAGAACCTGTTTGTAATGTCTTTAAATGAGGATGAAAAGGAGGAAGGACGAGTAAGAGTCACTCTGAATACTAAGGACGGTCACAGCTACCTGTACATCAAAGGACCCCAGCCCGAGGTCTCAGCCACATACCTCTGTGCCTCCACACAGTGCCCTGCAGTCACCTGCAGCCCCTGCCCAAACCGGTGCCTGGTGCTGCTCTGGTGCCAGCGTTGATGAAGAGGCAAAAATCGGGTAGAAAAGGCAAATGCAATGAATTACAGTGTTTTTAATAATTCAGTCACTGTAGCTCCCGAAACTACCTGCACTGTAAGCATCACTAACCTGGACTCCCACCAACATATTAGCCGTGTCATTGAGTCAGATCCCTTGCCTCCTCTTTTGCCAGGATTCCAAGTGAGCTAGATAGTAACTCAGACCTACCTAAAACAATCTGCTTAATCTAGGGTAGTATTTACCCTCCCACATTGGGACTCATCCTAAGAGCTAGTCCTTCTGTCAGATTTCTACGCATGCATGAACGCAGCATGTGGACATGTGGCTAGGACTTTTCTCACATACGTGGCATGAAATCTGCCTGTTTTATACCAGATCAGGCAATTGTGCTTCATTTAACTCATTGCAGATTTTGGTTTACTTCAACCTTTCCCCTACATGGACACCTGTTTTTCACTTTTTCTCATGGGGGCTATTTGCACTTTTGAAAATCACTTGTAATGACACTTGGTCCCTCCTCCAGGGTCTCTGGCTGTGATATTGAACAATAACTGAATGCTATGGTCTGAGTTTCTTCATTTGTAATCCCCAGGTGTATGAGGCTGGTCGCATATCTGGCGCTGCACTCACTCTGCAGCTTTCCAAATAATCCACCAGTTTAATACCCCGTAGTTCCTCTGGAGACCTTTAATTCTGGAAGCTTTCTGGATTTTGTCAACAAGATCAACTTCCTTCTGTGCTTCTTCAAGCAACAGCTTGAATTGCAGTTTTCTCCCAACGTCTACTTTAGTAACTAGTTATCCAGCTGCTGTCCAGCTTCCTGAATTATGTTGCTATTCTCTCTCGCTCTCTTTTATTACGTGCTATTTTTCTCCCTTTTTTTTTGTAGATTTATGTTTTTAAAATCTTATTACTGTCATTTTCTCATGCTTAGGAAAAAATAATACATATTATAAAACCCATATTGGATTGCATACAAATCCCTGACTGGAACCAATTAAGATGTACATGCATGAAAAGATTTTTTTTCAAAGATCATTAACAGGCAGTAATGAATATCTATGACCATCAGACGGAATGCCTGAATCCGTTCTGCTCCATAGCTAGCAAATTGCATGTTTAGAACTGAAAGTCTGAGCACAAGACTGAGTGAGGGGAACCCACAGATCACTGCACACTCGTGCTTGTGTAGTGAAACAGTATGGAGAAGAGCTGCTGGTCAGCCCGCAAACAGGGTCCCCATCATTACTGGCACAAATATCAGTGGAAGAAAATACTAATATTGTCAATAATGATCCTGTGGCTTTAGCTAACTCTGAATAGGTAGAAACATAAGGCCCAGAAAAAAAGCCAGGTCAAAATTTGGCACATCTGCTCATTGCGGCAACACAATACTTCATGGTATTTCTCACCATAGAATAAAAATTTGACTTTGCTTATACAGCACTTCAGGGTAGAAAGCTACTTAGACAGACCCATGACTCCACCTTCCCTGGGCCCCTGCTTGCCGCCATGCGAGAGGGTAAAGCTCTTCCACATAGGTAAGTGTCCATGTCTTTATGAAAGTCACAAGTAACTAAGGAAACGTGTCAAAAGTCTCAGTTTTGGGGGTTCTCAATGATCTGAAATTGAAAATAGTCTGTTAAATTTTGATTATTTGCTGAGTTACATGACCTTTTAAATAGTCCCTCATTTTTTTTTAAAGTTATGTCACATGTAGTGAGAAGAATGAGTGAATTATAAATGCCACATTGAACACGAAAAGCTCACACCTCCCTGTTTACTGCAGGGCCCCAACATGAGCACTTTCAGCCAGCTGCG